ATTTGTCAATATTCCAAACTTAGAAACCAAAGAAGATGACTAATGAGAAGTGGACTTTTGAGCAACAACTAGCTTGTGGCTACATAAGGCAATGGATGGACAAGAATGTCTTAAATCACATTGCAAATGAGACACATATTAGGACTTTGTGGGAAAAGCTTGAGGCACTTTATGCTTCAAAGATTGGCAATAACAAATTGTTCATGCTAAAGCAAGTGATAAATTTGAAATATAAAGGAGTCCTATTTTAGATCATGTAGGTGACTTTCAAGGCATCCTTGATTAGTTGTTTGATATGGGCATCAAGTTTGTTGATGAGACAGTGGACTTTGGTTGTACAATACTTTGCATGACCAATGGGAAACCTTTCAAGTTTCATGGAGTAATTCTACTCCCAATGGCTTTATGACTATGGTATATGCTAAAAACAAGACTCTTAAATGAAGACAAGAGAAGAATTAATCAATCTTCATCTTCCTCAACATCACCGTAGGATGTTCTAGTCATCGAAGATAAAGGGAGAAGCAAATATATGCATCTAAAATGCAAAGATAAAGAAAATTAAGATTGAAGTAGAAAGATCTTGAATGATACCATTATGGGAAATGGGGAAAAGCGAATATATATGTTTTCAACCAAAAAGGGATATGGGATAAGAAAAAAAGAAAGACAACGATAATAAGAATCGTGTTACTACTAGCATTGAAGATGATCTTTTTTTTTATTGTAATGAAAATGTCATCAATTTTGCATGCCATGAGTTAGTTGAATAGTGGATTCTAGTGCTGCATACCATGTTGCATCTAGGAAGGAATTCTTTGCATCTTATACTTTCAGTGATATTGGATATTGAAGATGGGTAATGATGGTAATACTACGTGATTGGGACTTCTAAGTTCACCAAAACAAGTGCGAATAAAGAGAGGATGTAACAATTTAGTATTAAAATATTGTTATATATTGAAAGATAGTCTCCACCATTATAATTATAGCAATGTCAGTGTGAAAAAGATTATCATTTATTATATTGGAATGTTTTTCAATGTACTATTATCCCTTTTTTTATTATTATTGATTGAATAAATCCTTAACTATGCATAAAAATTTCATGAACTTCTTCTAACTTTTCCGAAGTTAAAATTTTCTCCTAAATAAGTACACCAATAGACAATCAAAAAACAGAAGCAATAAATAGAATAAAAATAATAAATTATAATCAAATGTTCATGGCTTAATTCTAAGACAACAAAATGAAGAAGTTCATGCCTTAAAGACGAATGTATAGGGCATCTAATTGATATGAAATCCATTTTTTTTTATAAAAATATTATTTTGTTAAAGTGATGTTTGTAAAATTTTTCTTCTGAAAAACACTTCAATTACTCAAATCTCCAGAAAACAAAAGATGGACAAAGTCCATAAAATAAATTTAGGACAAAATTCTGCTAGTGGAGTGACTGGTCACCGGTA